TGATTCCGGTCAAGGGCACATACCCGGGTTGCAGGCTCGATCCCCAGTAGGGGGCATGCAGAAAGCAGCTGATCAATGATTCTCTCTCATCATTGTTGTTTCTATCTCTCCCTCTCCCTTCCTCTCTGAAATCAATAAAAATATATTAAGAACAAAAAAGAAAACTCCAATAACAAGGATGATTATAGAAGGGTAATAGTCGCTGAGTAGTGACCATATGGACAGGCCCTGTGCTAAGAGCTTTCCAAACTCGGTCTCAATGAATCCTCACCCAAACCTATTACATAGGGATTATCATTATCGCATTTTACAGTCAAGAACCTGAGACTCAGAGAAGTCAAGTAACTTTCCCAAGGTCACACAGCTAGTAAGTGGCCAAGCTGGCAATGAACCTGGGGCCATCTGACTTGAGCCATGCTGTTAAGATCAGCCTGACTGCCTCTCCAGGGACTGCAGGTCACACCATTAAGTGAACTGGGTGGGAGTGGCTACTGAGGTGAATCAGAGACCTTCCTAACCGGGGTAATCACCACTCAGCAGCAACCAATAGTTGCCGTGGGCAAATGCACATTCAGATGGCCAGACCTACCCATTTCTCAAGAGAAATCAGAAATCTGGATTTCTGTGTGACATATCCAGGGTTTTAAACATTGAAAATTGGTTCTAAGTTGGTTTTAAAACAACCTATATACTAGAGACTACAGAGATTTCACAGCCAATTCAATGAGCCTTGACTGGATCGTGGTTTGAAACACCAAAGTCTAAAAGACATATTTTAGTATGGCTGGGAAAATTTTAATATGATTGGATATTTGATGATACTGTGGATTTTTTGTTGTTTTTCTTGGATGTGATACTGGAATTGTTATGTGAGAAAATGTCCTCCTCCTTAGGAGATCCAAGCTGAAATATTTAGGAACAAAGTGCCTCATCTGCAACTCATTTTCAAATGCTTCAGCCATAAAACAAACGGGAAAGGGGGGTGATGTAGAGAGAGAGGAAAAAAGAAAGGAATATTTGAAGAGAAAGAAATTAACAATAAAGCAAATATGACAAAATACTGCCCCTACATGACATTTGACTATGTCTGAGGGTGTGTTTTACTGTCATGACTGGGTTGTGCAGTGGGTGCTACTGGCATCTAGTGGGTAGAGTCCCAGGATGCTGCCAAACATCCTGCAGGGCACAGAACAGCCCCACAACAAAGAATTATCCAGCCCCAAGTGCCGGTTGTGCTGAGAATGAGAAACCCTGGTCTAGATAAAGGCTCTACTAAAGTCCCTTTTGATTAGTCTTTCAAGTTTTTGTAGGTTTAAAATGTTTCACAATTTAAAAAAATTAAGAAAAACTTTAAAAATATAAAAGTACATAAGTAGAAATATTTTGCAGACCAAACAAAACATGTCTGTGTGGTTGGGTAACCATAGCTGGCCACTTGCAGCCACTTTTTCCAATAAATAGTGGTTGAATGGAGCTGCTGTTACAGCTGCTGAATGAGCATCTGTACAGTTCTTACAAAATCGAGTGCAAAGCAGCCCTCCTGAAATTACTATCTTTCTCCTGCTTCCAGTCCTAATCAGCCCAGAAGCAAGCAGGCAATGTGCCCAGGACTATGGGCCTAAACACTGACATCACAGAGGCCTCTTCTGGGAAAACACAAGCGTGCTGGCCACCAGGAGCAGTCTGTGACATGGGAGCAGCGATGTGTTCTAGTCTTTGAAGGGGAGGTGCTTAGAGATGAGATGAGAACAGACCCCTCATCTCAGTGACCCTCACAGCCCGAGACAGAACTAATTAAGAGGCTGTGGCCAGCACATTAATTTCACCTGGAAGCCACCTGCTGGTGCCAAGCTTGGCATGTCCACCCCACCCAAGCATCCCTGAGCCCCTGCAAGCTAATGAGTCCATGAGCCCATGGCTGGGACTAAAAACAATTTCCTGCATAAGCAGCCCAAGGTGCATTTGGCAGGGGGGGGGGGGGACTTGGGGCAGCCCCAGCACCACAGAAATACACATTAAGGCTACATACATGCAGAAAACAAGCAACAGAATGCAAATAAGGGAGTCACCTTGGGTTGATTCATTTATCCCTTGTAAAAGATTCCTAAACCCAAGACCAGTCTTTCTCAAAGTGTGGGGTGGGTTGGTTAAATGCAGATTTGGGGGGAGGGGGCATCCCAGACCTCTTGATTCAGACTCTCTCAGGATAGATTTCAAGAATGTGCCTTTTAGGAAGCTCCCTCACACTCTGATGCTCACCCCATCTGAACACATCTGTCCCTGACACAGTGGGAACCAGGGGAGTGAGTAGATATTGCACAATTTTGTAACTGTGTGACCTTGGGCAAGCCACCCAACTTTGTAAGTGGGGATCAGAATAGCACCTGTCTCACAGGGTAACTGTGAGCACTATAGGGATGTTTACACACACACACACACACACACACACACACACACACCCTAGAGCGGTGCCGGGCACTCGGAACCCAGAACCGCACTGAGAAATGTGACTGTCTATTCCTTAGCAGTGATTGGCAGAACACTGTAGAGCCCCGAGCGCTTTACCAATGTACAGACACTCAGGTCCTTCCCCTAAAGGTTATTGATTTAAATAGTCTATCTAGGGAGAGGCCCAGGGTAGGGATTTTTTTTTTAATAGCATTCCAGGTGAACCTAAACAGCAGCCAAGGTTGAAAACCACACCTGGGAAGCTGCCAGAAAGAAAAAAAATCAACTCTTACTCTTCTTTCTCTTCAGGTGTATGCACTTGCTCTCCATTCTGGAATTCCCAAGATGTATATACCACAAGGAGCGCCTGTATTCAGGCTGTTACAGAAGACTGGGTACCCCTAGATTCCACCTCCCAGCAGACGTTTCCTGATACCAGCAGAAGAATGTGGCAGCTACACACTGAGCAGGAGTGATCCTTTTGCCCCCTCACAGAGCTGCAAGGGTGCTGGACAAGGAAGTTGAATCCCTGCTGGGCGCTAAGGCACCTAGTGGAGCTGGGTCTCAACAGGAAAGCACAGATCAAAGAGGGGCTGAAGCCAGCGTCACTTTCTCCCAGAGGTGCCCAAAGGTTAGCTCCTCTCACACTTTGTCTCCTCCCTGTTCCCTCTCCACCCACCCCTCTCCCCCACCCCCCACCCCCACCCCCAACACTGAGAAGGGCTCCTTGAAGCGCAGGTTTGCAAGGAAAGGGCTCGGTGGAGATTTCAGCCGAGGAATTCACCCGAATCTGCAAGGCAGCCTACCTATCCCTGGGAGAATCTCTCGCTACCAGGGCGACACCGCTGCCGCAGTCCTGCCTGCGCATCTCACCCTCACCTTAACGCAGACCTCAGAATCCACAGCGATGGCGGGCACCGCAGGGGAGTGAAGCCACCGGGCCCATGGGGTTGGTGACGGGGCACCTTGGGGTTGCAGGAGGTGGGCGGGGCCAGCGCTTTACTCTTTGGGTAGGTCAGCATCCCCTCCAAGCTTACTTCTGTTCCTCAAGACCTCACCACACCTCCCTGCTGACCCAAACCCGGAGGAACTTCACTTCTCCCCCCGCCCCCATCCCCGCAAAGTCCTCCCCTCTGGAAGAAAAAAAAAAGTCATCGGATACTCTTCGTATAAATCGAAAATAATTACTAGTGAGGTGGTGATGTTCCTTCGCCTGTTTTTGCTGGGGCTCTTTGTTCAGATTTTTTTAGGCAGACTCCCGAGCGCGTGCACACACACGCGCACACACAGGTCCCCGGCGGAGGTGTGGGGTGTGCGTGTGTGTGCATGTGTCTGTGTGTGTGTTGGGGGGCGGGGGGAGCGGGGGAGCTACGTGGCAACTCCGTTACCCATATTCGAAAAGAGGACAGAGCGTGCGCCCAGCCATCCAGCAGTGCGCAGGCCGCCTGTCGCTCTCCAACCCCACCTGCCCGGACCTCACACCAACCCCGGGCCTCTCCCGGGTCCCGGGCAGCGTCCTCGCAGCTGCGTCCTCGCCTCCAAAGTTACTGGGTTGTGCGAATCAATTTGGACACTTATAAAACAAGCAAAAGGCAAATAGCTCCATTAATCCCCAAATGCCTCCTTCCATCTGCTGCGACTTCCTCGTGCTGGGACTTGCATAATGAATGAGGCAAACGGGAAAGTTGGCGAATCAGGGTGTCAGGGAGGGGGGTAGTATCCGCGCGGGGCGGGGGCTCTGGCCTTTGAAGTCCACGCCAGCTCGAGCTATGGGTACAGGGAGAGGTGGCGACGGGGAAGCGGAGCCAGGGAGTTGGGGAGGGGAGAGGAGAGACCGTAGAGACAGCAAGTTCCCGATGCCAAGGACCTTGCAGCTCTGGGAAAGCGAGGCGGCCGCTCCGAACAAGGCTTTTGTTCTCGCCCTCCCTTGGCTCTCCGCCCCCCTCGCCTCCTTTTCTCAAGCCGTACTAGTTGCTGGCGGCACACACATCTTTCCCTCCTCCTTCCTTCACACACGCGCGCCTGGGCTCTCACACACACCCCTTCCCTTTCCGGCTCGCCCGCCGGCCCCTGTTTATCTAGTATTTGGAACCCGAGGGTGGACCGCTCCCTAAAACCAGAGACTTGGAGGCCAAGGGCTCCCAGCTGTGTGCCTCAAGTCCGCTGCAATTTTACGCGCCGGGAGGGGGGTGCGGCAAGACAGTGAGGGAAGGGAGAGACCCTCCGCCCCCCCACCCCACCCCCCCCACACACACACATACACACAAGCTCATGTCCACACCTGTGCGGAGCCAGGCTCCCCCTCTCCGAATCCAAGTTGGTTTCCCGGTGACATCCCCTCAGCAGAGAGCCTGGGGCGGCGGGGGGGGGGGGG